TTATCTCGAGCGAAGACTATGCGGGAGACTTGGTCGGAGGGACTGGAGTTGGATTCAAGACACTGCAGAAATGTTTCGTACACGGAATCCGAAGCCGCCGCCACCGACGGAGCAGAGAATCGGAGGAGGAGGAGGAGGAAGACGAAGGGGAGAAGACGATGCATGATTGGGGGATTGAGATTTGATTTTGATTTGGGTTTGTTCATTGGATTTGCCCTATTGGAATGGAAAATTGATGTGGTGTGGCGTGGGATTTATATTCCAACGAATTGGTCGCTGCAAAATTGAAGTGGGTTTTCTGTTCAAACTTCCTTTTCTTGACCAAGAAAAGTCCAATCCAATTATTATTAAAAATAAAAATAAAATTATGTCTTCGTATTTCGTAAAAATGGTAGCTGTTGCGACAGCGATTTACATACAATAATTAGTGTACTTACTCTTTATGACATTTATAATTTAATGTAGCAATCCAACTCCAAAAGTTGTAGTTTAGAACCTCCACTATCTTATTAAAAATAAATTTGTTTGGATTACGCAAATCTCATCACAGATTAATAAGTGCTTTGTTCATGGTTGGGTTGATATTTAAATAAATATTATTGTTATTTTATTAAGAATTAATATTTTAAGCAACATTGTTTATTTTAGAGGATTTTAACTCACATTATTATATTCTCCTGTTGGTTTGTCCATGGTAGATAGGAAATTTGGGACAAGAATGCCGGCAAAGACAGATATTATATTATAAAAAAACAATAATTTTAAAATGAGGTACACGTTAAAGCGAACATAATTGGGTGATAACTGACCTATATTTTCAAAAAAAAAAAAATAGAGGAATTTGATCCGGCCTAACTTAAATCTATACGTGAACTTTCCAAAATAAAGAAAAATTCTCAGATCGGAGAGTCTTTATGGAAAAAAAATATCTAACTTATAAGATTATTCAAACTAAAGTTCCAAATACGTTTTAGGAGTGAAGTATTTGGAAAATTAAGGTGTAAAATAGTTTTCATAGAAATTTTTTTAAAGAAAAATCTCTGCATTAAACAAACAAGAAATAAATTTCAAATGGAGATCAACCACATATATGCAATTAAATGATTTTTCGACAAGTAAGGGAGAAACTTAAAATTAGTGCAACAAATGGCAAAATTTTCTAACTGTACAAGAATAAATAAAATACTCATTCCATTTATAATTCAACCCATAATTAAATGTTATATTATTTGATTGCAGTGACATACATCATTCTTAAATTTCGCTAATTTGATAATCAATTAATTGGAATAGTATGAAATTTTTTTTAATACAACAATATGAAAGAGTGAGATTCGTAAATACAACATTTTGGTCGAAGATACATGCCTTGACTAGTTGAGTTAAGCTCAACTTGATAGTAGTATAGAAAATTTATCATACCAGCATAGTACTCAGAATTTTTTTCCAAATAAATATCGTGTAGAGATTTGAACTTCTAGTCTTAAAGAAGGAGACAGATGTCTCAAGCTAGGTTCAATTACTAATTTGATCATATAGTTTGCGTTCAAAATAAAGTCGGTCTCAATGACTTTAAAAACTTTACTTTAGTTCCAGACGATTTGTCTTAGAAAAAAAAATTAGGATAGTTCAATACATAGAATTTTAGAAGTTTCAATTGGGTCCTAATGGATTTGTCAAACCTCACAAATTAGAATTGTTTATGAGGGAAATTTTTAGAATGATAAGAGATGAATTAAAAATCTTAAACCTAATCAAATTAAAATTAAGGGTAAGAAGATATTGGAGGCAAAAGTGGAGGGCAATTGTGGAAGTCAATTTATTATTTTGTTGGAACTTTGTCATCATTTAGAGGGAAAAAAAAGTAAAATTGGGAACCACATGTGCTTCTTTACTTTTGTGCTTGTCCCTATGGATTCACATGTCTTCCATATTGTCACACCCTATTATTCCTCCCTTTTAAATTAAATAAGTAACTTTCCCTCTTTGACAAAATATATTATTTTGGCCTACATGGATTTAGATATAAAAATATGATTATATAATTTCATGTACAATAATTTTACTCCTAACAAATAAGTTGGTTTNGTTTGACTTTTATGTCCCTCAAAAATAAAAGCATATTTCATCTATTTGGTTAAATTTTTGACCTGATTTAATATTGATTTTGATTAAAATGCTAGAATTGACTTTTCCGTTAATCCAAGGGTTTATGTAAAAAATTATTAAAAAAAAAATGGAAACGATGAAGTAATATAGTTTCAAGAAAAATATAATGAATTAATGTGAATGGAATAATGTTATGTGGTGTGATTTGACTGGAAAGAGAAGCTAGCCACGTTTTCAGGGACAAAATCCACATCAATAATTAATTGCATACTAACTATTTTAACAACTAAAAAAACTTATTTTAGTAAGAATAAAATTAAACATAATTTTTTAAGCAGAACACATGAAGATTTGAAGTTACGATATTTTCATCAAGATTGGAAAAACGTTCAATAAATCAAAAAGTTAGTTTATAGTGTTTATATTAAAAATAATTGAAAATTTATATATATATAAACATTATCTTCGCGTTGTGATGTGGTGGTGGGGAAATGATTGGGTTCCACAGTTTGAAATGTCAAATTGCAAAGAAATTAAAAAAGTTGACTTTATTTTTCAGATCCACTCTTAGCCCAACCGCCCTTTTTTTTTTTCCAGGAAAAGGAAAAATGGCTTCACACATTTATTTTACTTTTGTTTAGTTAACCATTTAAAATGGTACTTGTTTCAGGTCAAAATACGACCTACTACGTAGAACAACGAGAAAATATCCTCCAATTCAAAAGGATGGAGAGAAAGAAACTAGAAAGTTGAGATTTTGAACGCGTTAAAAGATGGAGGAAATTACGTGTAGAAGCAGAAGCGCCCACTAAAAACACACCAAATAAATACATGTCCCACGTCCAAATCCAATCCACTTTTTGGACCTTTTTCCACACAATATTAGTGCCCAAAACTATTCACACCAGAAATTTAGGACGTGGTATGGATTAAATTGAGAAAGTGAGAGGAAGAAGAAGAGCCGTTTAAAAGAAATTAAAATATATAAAAAGTTATTTTTTTTCATTTATTTAAAATATCAAGTTACAAAAGTCTAGTTACCTATTAATATTGTCATGTCATTCTTTCGTTGAATCAACTAACAATCAAATAATGTTAAAATAATTTTTTAAAGTATAGAGATCAAAAGTGTCTATTTTAAAAATTTTAAAAACAAACAGTAACATACTCCAAACTTCAGTCATTAAAATGTTTCTTTTTAGAACATTAGAAACTACATTGACACATGCTCCAAATTTCAAAGACTAAAAATATGTATTTTTTAAAATTATTTTAGTTGATGTAATTTTATTTTAATTCTTTATTATTAATAAAAAATATTTACCATCGATAAAATAAATTAGAATTTATTATTATTTAAATTCAAAAAGATTAACACAATATTATCTTAATGATATACTAGTACTGAGGAATAGCACCAAGTATGGTTCCTTTTGTAAATTTTAGTTAAGATATACCATCCTGAGCTTTTTCTACTTGTCTAATTATTTTCATTGATTTTTTTTTTCTTTTCACAGCAAGTAGAGATATTCAAATTCACGATTTTTTTATCCGGACAAATGCCTAAGTTGAACTATGCTACCATTTTCATTCAATTATATTATATAAAAGATATTCAAAATTAACATTAGTATTTAATATCCAAAGACAGACCTTTGAAGCAAACAAGGGGAAGAGAGAAGGTTTTCTTTAGGTTTTAAATGTAGTTCATATTAGTCTTCTTTGTTAAATCATAAATTTTGTCGTTAAAGCGAGCATAGTTTAGTGGTAATTGACATATACTTCCAACCTCTCCTCCCAACATGTTGTACTAAAAAAATTATCAAAAAAATCCGTAGTATTTTGTTTGTTTGTTTCTTTAATCTTAAAAAAAAGAAAAGTAGGATGCCAATTTCAAATTATTTCCATTAATCACTCTCTTCTTAATTTACCATAACACATTGCATTTATTAAATACATGGCTGTTTAAGTAACTACAAAAACCAAAATCACATAAGAGAAAATACAGCTCACCTTTTCAAAACGAGATAACATTTAATTTTAAATTTTCTATTTTTAAAAATTACATTTTTTAGTATTTAACAGAAAATAAAAATAGCACATCCACGTTGTTTATAAACTAAATTTTAAATAACAGAAAACAAAAATGCTGTTTTCACCGTCATGTCTCTTTATAAACACCCCGGGACAAGGCTTCACAAATCATAAAACTTAAAACGTTCTATTTTCTATAACAGAAATGTGGAATTCATCCTCCTCAATCCTCTCATTTTTCTCTATCATTTTAATTTTCTTGTCAGGGATGTCTACTTGTTATTCTGATGAACAAAACTTTCTCCAATGTCTGTCAAGCAACACGCAGTCAAATTTCCCTATCTCCGAAGCTATCTTCACCCCCAACAATTCTTCTTTCTTACCGACTCTTAATTTCTATATCAGAAACCCTCGATTCCAGACCCCCCAAACCCCAAAGCCACTCGTCATTATTGCAGCCAAACACGAATCTCATGTCCAAACAACTGTTATTTGTGCCAAACGCGTTGGGCTACAAATCAGAATCCGTAGCGGCGGCCATGATTACGAAGGCCTCTCCTATGTCTCCCAACAACCCTTCATCGTCCTTGACCTGTTCAATCTCCGAGCCATTAATGTCAATATCTCAAACCAAAGCGCTTGGATTCAAGCAGGGGCCACCATGGGGGAACTTTACTACGCCATTGCTAAGAGGAGTGGAGTCCATGCCTTCCCTGGAGGTGTCTGCCCGACGTTGGGCGCTGGTGGGCATCTTTTAGGAGGTGGATACGGCAATTTAATGAGAAAATTTGGGCTCTCCGTGGACAACATTGTGGATGCACAAATTGTAAATGTACAGGGTCATATTCTAAATCGACAACAAATGGGAGATGATCTGTTCTGGGCTATTAGAGGAGGAGGAGGGAGCTTTGGAGTCATTCTTTCGTGGAAGATTAAGCTAGTTCCAGTCCCTTCAATAGTGACAGTGTTTAATGTTGATAGAACTATAGAGGAGGGAGCAACGAATGTGGTTTGACAATGGCAGCAAGTTGCGGACAAGCTGGATGAGAATGTGTTCATAAGACTGATGCTACGCGCTTCCAAAGGAAAGGAGAACGGGCAAATGACTGGGAAGGCGTCGTTGGTGGGATTGTATCTTGGATCAGTGGAGAAACTTTTAGAGATCGTGAATCAGAACATACCAAGTTTGAAATTGCAAAAACAGGAATGCAGGGAGATGAGTTGGATTCAATCTACTATGTTTTGGTTTAATTTCCCAAATGGGACGGCCCCAGAGGCATTACTAAGCAGGGAAATCCCATCTTTGCCTTTTCTCAAACGGAAATCGGACTATGTGAGGGAACCCATTTCAAGAGACGGAATAGAATCGATATGGAAGACGATCATTGAAATTAAGGAAGTGAGTCTCGTTTGGAACCCTTATGGAGGGAGGATGAGCCAGATTTCAGAGGCAGCGACTCCATTTCCACATAGAGCAGGAGTGAAATTCAAACTCCAGTACTCTGCGAACTGGAAGGAAAGGGGTAATGAAGAGGCTGAGGAGAATATTGCATTGACGAGAAGATTGTACGAAGCGATGACGCCTTATGTGTCGAAGAATCCGAGAGAGGCGTTCTTGAATTATAGGGACATCGACGTGGGGAGCACCGCCAATTGGAGCGTGGAGGAAGGTAGGATTTATGGGGCGAAGTATTTCAAGGGAAATTTTGAGAGATTGGTGAGCGTGAAGACGAAAGTTGATCCTGAAAATTTCTTCAGAAATGAACAAAGTATCCCTACTCGCTGATCTTGAGAGTGAATTAATAAGATGAACGTCTAATTAAACTATATCTTGTGCTTCTCATTATGCTTTTGTTATATATTTTAGCAAATCACTTGGCTTGACACAGCTTTGTATGTCTAATTTATTACTAATCAATGAAAAACCTTATCATTTTGATTAATTTGCAATCATTAACAGCTTTTCTTAGATGGTTGACATGGATCAAATCATAATACGTGATTGATTCATTAATCTAGGTCCGAATCAAAGGTTAAAGAAAGTTAAAGATCATTGGCCTAAAACCCATACCCATCACCAAAGACAAACCTTCTTAAATTGCCAATACTTCGGTCATATTGACCAAACCACGATAGAGAAGGAATTTAACTATGTGCCACTGGGAGGAGGCAATTAAACTACGAATTGTACCAAAAAACAGAGCAACTCAAAAATGGTTCGGATTACCCTTCTTCTCACCAATGACCCACAAATCGAGAACAATTTATACACATTTGTGTTTCTCCAACCAGATGGGCCTGGAATTATTCATATTCGCAAACAATCAAGCCCTTTTAATTATTCGATTACGCCGTAACTCTCCCTCTCTCCGACGAGGGCGAGGGCAGCAGCGGTGACGACGGTAGTACGAAGAAGATGAGAACCAAGGACAAAGAAGAGGGGAGAAACAAAGGGAGAGCAAGAAGAAGAGTCCTATATGTAAAAATTTAATTTTTTTTAATTACACATTATCTTTTCTTAAGTCAATTAAGGTCGGAGAATATTTAGAACAATTTTTTTAAAAAAATTGTTCATTTTAAAATTTTATGGATTAAATTGACACCCACCCTAAATCTCAAAAATGTATATTTTTCAAAAATATTTTAATTAATATATTATATTTTAATTATTTATTATTTGTTAATAATAAATTGTTATAAAAAATTTTACTATCAATAAAATAGTAATAAAAATAAATAAAAATTTATGATTATTTTAATTATTTAGTACTATTACAATAATATATTTATAATTTATAATTAGTTAAAAAAAAGAAATGATATACTAGTAAATTCTAGTAAAACACATGAAAGCATATATGATTCTGATTCCATAGAAAGTTATATAAATAACATCAAATAATATTTTCATTTTCATTCTCCTTTCTTTCCATTTGGATTTCTTTTAAATAAAGGAGCCTAAATAAAATTTGAAAATAATGGGGCGAGTATGTCCTGCAAAATATAAATTTATGTGATTAAATAGAAATATAAAATGAAGAATAAAGATAACTCTTTTTTTTAGTATTAACATGTGGGATAGGGATTCAAGCTCATGGTCAGAGATATGTGTCTTAACCATTCAAGTTATGCTCGGTTTGACAATAAAGATAACTCTTTTTATGCAAAGATGAGTATTGAGAAATAATACCAAAGTATGGTTCCTTTTGTAAAATTTAGGAGGTATACGATCATGAGTTCTTTGGTACTCAGTACAATTATTTTGATAGATTTTTTTTATTTACTATTTTTTAGTCGGAATAGATGAGATTTGCTACTATTTTCATCTGAGTTATATTATATAAAAAAAAAAACTGCATAAGTAACATTAGTAGAGTTAATAACCAAAGACAACCTTTGAAGCAAACAAGCGTGAAGATAGAAGGTTTTCTTTAGGCTTTAAATGTACTTCATCTTCTTTGTTAAATCATATATGTTCTCGTCAAATGACAATACCAACCAACACATATTAGTTTAAATTATGTTGAAACTTTCCTCTTGAATTCGGCAGCGGAGGGATACTCTGTTCATTTCTGAAGAAATTATGAGGATCCACTCTCGTTTTCACTTCCACCAGTCTATCAAAATTCCCTTTAAAATACTTCCTTCCAAATTCCTCCGCCACCCCATAATTCGTTTCATCGCTTGGATTCGCCCCAATGTCAAGATCCCTGTAGTTAAAAAATGCTTCCCTCGGAGAACTCGACACGAATGGGGTCATGAAATCGAACAAACTTCTCGACATATTCAGATGGAATTTTTCAGATTTGGTTCCTTCCTCCGTCCACGCCAGTGGGTATTGAATCTTGAACAAGTTCCCTGCTCTGTGAGGAAATGGAGTCGCCGATTCCGAAATTTCCGCCATTCTTCCTCCGTAGGGGTTCCACTGCATCACCAACTGGGTGTTCTCAAACCCAATCATGGTCTCCCAAATCGATGCGATCCCTTCCTTTGGGATCGCCTTCTTCACGTAATCAGACCTGCTCTTGAAATAAACCGACCCGTTTTTGGGTCTGTCGAGAAGACTTTCAATGGTGCTTCCTTCTGGGAAGCCGTACCAGAAAAGAGTGGATTCGGCCCAGCTTCTTTCGCTGCAATCGCTCTTCTTTAAACCCAATTCAGGGAACCTCCGCTTCATTAACGAAATCAGCGGCTTCGTCGATCCCAAAAACAGACCGATGAACGAAACCTGTACTGTGAACTCGCCTTCTTTCGTAGTCGAAACCACTACGCTATGCGTTGCTCTTATGAACAACTCGTTGGGTAAATGTGGGGCCACAAATTGCCAGCGATGGGCCACATCGAGCGCGCCTTGTTCTACAGTGATTCTGACATTGAAAACGGTTACAGTTTTGGGAACGGAGACCAGTTTAATCTTCCACGAAATCACGACGCCAAAACTGGCGGCCCCACCTCCTGTAATGGCCCAAAACAGATCCTCCCCCAT